TATCCTATGCTCATCAAATTTATGGTATCTTTCTGTTAGGTGAAGATATTCATAAGATGCAAACATTTAACCACTTGCTATGGCAACTTGAGAATGCCTGGTAACCGTTTTCACTACTGGTTTCCTTTAGCAATACAGAGAGAAAAGGTTGTGCGCGTTGACCACTTCACTTGTTCAGCAAGTCTGACCAGCCCTGGTGCTTCGGTCAGTGGCCCAAAAAATCTCAACATCGATAAGAAACTCTGAAGTATAATTCGCCAACTTATGGGAAACCACATGATGTCCAACTGTCTGTTAATGGTAAGTGTACTACAATGCAGTTCGCTGTCTTCTACCTATACTGTTATGAGTCATGTCCATTGAAGGTAGGCTACAGTAAATGGCTTCAGGTGTTCGACCACCGTTGCCTTCGTAGAATAGGCCATATGTTTCACTGACACCGCGTCAGTAACATAGAGGTCAGGTGTGGAGTTTCACATAGAAAAGGTAAGCTGGTTGATGACGTTGTAAACCTTCATCGACTCACGTAACTGCAACATATGTCATACATGTCTACTCAACATCTATGTCATCGCACATTTTCAGCTCAAGTTTAGGTTCAGGTTGAACAAACGCAGAAGGTGACTAAACAAACACATGCCATCAGTCGATGAAGTTTACGACTACTGTTGTGAGTCACTGGCATCCACATGACAACGAAAATCACTCACTCATTGAAGACTGTAGGTGATATGGGTGAGAGTGGATATCAGTGGCACAAATGGAACCACACATTGTCTATATCGTATTCGTCGTGTTGAATTTGATTACTGTCTCACTGCTTGTAGATCGCTTCCTCCTCCTTCATAGTATGGTTGATTACTTCATCCCTTATTTCTTTATTTTTCATTTTTGTATCTTCTAACTTGGTTGGTAGGTGTGCTGACATCGGGTGTTGCAAATTCGAGTGACCGTCAGGTGCTTACACCGGGATCCATAATGATGTTGATGGATTGAGGTTTATAATATTTAGGAATTAAATTTCTTTTTGTGATTGTTTATGTTGCGTTTCTCGTGGTCATCTTATTGATGGGTCCACTTTTGAAGGAACTCGAAAGTGATTGGTCTTCACTGGTCTTCACTGGGATAAAGCAGAATACTACCAGACAATGTGCTGAATGTTCGAAAGTTTATGAAGGAGGTTATTCAATTATCATGTGGAAGAACACTCTCTAGTGTTACATGTATCAATGGTAAGTCAATAAACAGGAAAGTTCTAAAACATTGTATGGCATTCACAATGATATCAGCACATTCAAAGTAGTACTGGTCAAAGTAGGTCGAATGTTTATGGTAGCTTATCTTCAGTTATTATGTAGATCGCTGATAGTTTATGCTCACTTCTCAAAGTTTGATAAAATTCATTATTGTTCAACATTCAGCAAGCGAATAAGTTTTTTCGAAGAATCTACCGATTGTTAAATACTTTTCATAAGCAACATTTCCGTTTATTTCTAAAAACTAGATTTCAGTTAAGCATTACGCGCCAATCAATTGAACAACTATTTACCGAGATCTTATCGAAATTCTATATCATGTATACACTTGGTAAAATTAAGCAACATTCTCGTTAAGTGTCTAAATTTCTGGAAATAAGTGGTTCATAGTACAAATCGATATAATTAAATTGATTAGTGACAGTCAGGAGGTTCTGGATAAACTTTTCATCGTTTTCTTGATGATAATTCTCGAGACCAAAAAGGAGTACGTCAATCTTCGAACAACTGACCATTTGCTCAACCGTGGCAATCAGCTAAATATGACAGAGGTGGTTCGTATTTAAAAGTCGTAGTTAACAAACTACTTTTTTAGTAGTAAGTAGTTAAATATGTTACATCAAATATATGAACATTTTACAGAAGTTAGCTCAGTCTTTGATGTTATGGCTTGTGGATCGCCATCGTTGATTGCACCGAATCCACCGGCCACTATTGGCATTTGGGCTCCTGTGCGCATGCCTCGATACCATCGGCGTCTTTAGATTCAATATTAATGACGGATAGTGAAATCTAGGACACAGATTTCGTCCTATTTAGGAGAGGTCAGCTGGATGTACTTGCTTCCCAGTAGGTGATGCTGCTCCCACTAAGAATCTGACTCAGGACCAAACAAGTTTGTTAAATGCATACAGAAATACATGTGGAAACCATCTGATTGAGTTCAATGTACAAAAATGTCTCAGTTCGGCATGTAAATAAACATCTATCTGACCCTTAATCATGACAGCACACAACAGACTAACTAACAATAGCAGTTATTACGTCACAAACATTCTTATGGTCAGAGATTTCTACCACCTTTACATAATTGTCCATCCATTATGCACACAAACACATGCACACATATAAACCTACAAGAAAGGATACAAACATAAACAAATGCACACCTTAAAGTTTATCTGTCGAATTCACTGTTGCCAAATTATTGATCATATCACATATAGTTTACTTCAGAGTTAGTATTAAAAGGACACCCTGAGGGTATTCACCATACACTTGCATCTGGTGCAAATTACAATTAGTTCTAAAAGCCTAATTTAAGTGATTCAGGAAAAAGAGAGATAATTCAGTGGAGAAAACTTTCTTCTAAGGTCAACAGAGGTATATTTTCATTTTCTAGAAGAACCGGAAAAATACGTATTCAATGACTCCAATTTATCTTTTACTTCCAATAAAATGTAGGTAATATCGCTGGGTCTGAAATTTCGTGATATTTCAGTAACTGCTACTGACTTAGACTCTGTACATCTTACTAGTTCGCCTACTCTTGTCGAGCAAAGTAAATCGGCCGTAGCCAAAGAATGCTTTCTACACGTATACGAGAACATGTTCTTGCTTGGTTTCATAAAGGTGAAAGAAAATCTGTTAGAAGTTCAATTTTAGGATATTTGATTATTTCGATCACTCAACAAATTCAGACAATGACTTTAAAATTTCTTATCAGATTAGTCCAAACCTCCCACTTTTTCTTCTTGAGACAGTGGAGGCTTTAGCTATTAAGGAACTAAAACCTGATCTGTATGTACAAAAGAACTATGTATAGTCACTGCTTTTACCATCGCCATGACATTTTTCCACCCCCTTTGTTAATTTAACCTTTGTATCCCTACCTTATCACTATTATTGTTATTATAATTACCTTCACTTTGATTAGTTTCCGGTGTTATCTCACTTAATTGTCTTGTTAGAAAACATTGATTTCATCTTGACCAACCTGTTTAATAACCTCGTCTGGTTACTTGGTTAGCTAGCTGGCCCTAAGCCTGGGTAAAGAGGGAAGACTGGGAATGGGGTTAGCAACCCTAACCCGTAAAACCAATCCAACTGCTACAGAAACTTCAAAGCACAGACAAAGTAAGACAGGCGTTCATTAACCTGAAACCAGTGTGGAGATCTGCACTCAGCACAAAGCGTGAACAAGATCTGGATTTTCAACACCAACGTCAGTCAAGTCAGTGCTTCTATATGGTTCAAAGACTTGGCGCGTTATGAAAGGGATTTCCAACAAACTACAGATATTCATCAACAACTGCCTACGCTCGTTACTGAAATTCAGATGGCCAGAAAGATCAAGCAACAAGGAACTCTGGCTAGCTGCCAACGAACCAACTAAGAACCTATTGCTCAACAAATATGCAGAAGGAAGTGGAGATATATTGGGCATGCACTGAGAAGACCATTCGAAGACATCACACACCAGGTCAGGTTCTCGAGTGGAACTCAGATAGGAAACGGCAAGTTGGGTGACATGGAGGAGATCATGTGAGGAAGAAATGAGAGCTTGTGGGCTGTCATGGAGCCAGGTTCAAAAGATTGCAGAGAAAAAAGTGGAATGGAGGCATGCTACTGAAGCCGTATGTTGCACTAGGAACCCAAGGGACAAATAATAATAATAATAAATCACCCCCGTCTGAGTTGCATACCTTCTATGAACCATTCCGTATATTGCGTAATCCACTTTATTATTATTCATACTTCAATTGTTATCGTAATCACAAATACCTGTATAATCATCCCTTTTTTTATTATGATTATTATCATCATCATATAGTGTTTAGTTTTCCTCATGGGATACAATTCTTCAAATATCACATATAAGAATGTACAGACTGAAAATCAATTCGTTGAAAAGTCTCTTCGCTGAATATCTTATTCTTGATGTTACAATAGAAACTATTAAATTATTAGATATAGAAGTTCAGTTTGAAAATCCGAACAATCAAATGAATGATCTCCTACCAACTTGAATTCCACAAATTGTTTGGAATAAAGTGAATTATTATTATTATTATTTAAAAAAACTGTCTTACATTGTTACCAACAATATCTTTATAAGAAACCATGTTGAACCAAATCCTCACTAAGGTTCTGAAGAAAAGGAAGAATGAGTCTATCATCAACCCCGAACTCCATATGAGCGATTGCAACCATTCAGGTTCCGCAACTTATCGTTTAAATGGTCTCCCAAAAGTACACAAAGAAGATTTTCCACTGAGTTCAATTTTGGACATGAACAAACGACTATGCTATCGCCAAATGGCTGTCGGACATCCTTCAATCAATCAGAAAACGACTAAATACGCACAGTGTATTGGATTCTTTCGATTCAATTAATAGTGTCAATTTATCCGATAAGCGACTGATTTTTTCTGCTTACCAATGTCCTTCTCACGAGAACTGTCTGTTTTCTATGTGATTTCAACGAAGGTAACGATATTCACGTAGGAATCCCACAGGATTATTTAAAAGAATTACTTCTAAGATGTACCTTTAATAAGCAGCTGAAATTCAACAACGAATTGTACAGACAAAAGGATCGGGTCACTATGAGGTCACCACTTCAACCGCTGGTAGTTGATTGCTTCACGGCAAAAGTAGAGAATAGTCTTCTCCACTCAACAATTGATAATTTCAACCTATATAAAAGATATATGGATTATACATTCAACATATGTGATCAAATTGCAGATAGTGGGACTGTAACTATTAAAGGGTTTAATGATTGTCATCCATCGTTTAACTTCACATCAGAATTTGAAGAGAACTCAGAATTTTATTTTCTCGATGTCTTATTGAAACGGAGAACCCGTGGTTCTTTTCAGAGATCGATTTATAGGAAGAATACATGGAATGCATAATACTGGAATTCCTATATCTGAGTGTTGCCCAGTAGAAAAATGACACTGATTCATCCTTTATCATCAATAAGCAGAAGAATCTGCACGAGTGATACCGTAGACAATGACTTGGATAAACTACGGAAAAAATTCTCATGTGAAATGAAGACCCATCCAGACTTATTAAGAAAAAACTTGAAATTAAAACACAACACGAAAAAAGTACATAAAGTTGTAAATACTTTTCTTATGAACGTTAGTTTCAAAGGTGATACGGCAGGAGAAATCCTGAAGGATCAGCTATCCAAATCGCTCAATAAGATTTCTGCGAAGCTACACATCAGTTTCTCTAGTCAGCAACTAGTTCCAGGGTTCGTTAAGGACAAGTCGCAGGTCTACAAATTTATTTGCTTCGGTGGAGCTAGTTATATAGGCGGTACAAAGCGTATACTACCCAAACGAATCTCTGAGCGTTATCTCGCATGGTTGTCGAGGGGAGAATGTAAATCAATCAACAGTTCAATTCTCGAACACTTGGTCAACTCTGGACATATAGCGCTCCACCAGAGTCCTCCTTAAGTGTCATCTACAGAGTTAAAAGGAGTACGCTATGGGCAGTTGCGTGAGGAAAAAACACTAATGTATGTCTTTAGTTTGTTGGAAATACTTCTCGTGACGCGCCAAGTCTCTCAACCATCACATATAAGCACTGACTTACTTGACTGAATTAGTATTGGAAATCCGAATGTCGTTCACACTTTATGCTGAGTGGAGTGTAGTGCAGTGCAGTAGATCTCCACACTGATTACTTCAGGTTGATGAAGGCCTGTCTTGTTGTCCTCTCGATCCTGGCTGCTTTGACATCTTCATCTGTGCCACCACCACCACCACCACCACCTGTAGTTGAAACGATGCTGCCTAGGTAGGTAGGTAAGTAGGTGGAAGAGACGGCTTCAATCAGATTTCTCCCGTTAATGATGATTGGTGCTTCTTGTTGTTGATATTGTTGGTTGGGTATCTTCATCATCTCTGTCTTCTCTACGTTCACCTGAAGCAAGTCCCATCTTCCTTTGCTCCCCTGCCCTGCATCGCCTCTTCAGTCAACTCGTTAATTTTCGCCCACAGATATTCGAAATTGTGCGACATTAGACAGTAGACATAGATCATCATCAGCGGCGAAATCCAAATCTCCTCGTGGGGCCTTTTCATCGGTCCAGTCAGCGTATGCCCACCTACTCGTTTCTCACAATTGTCTGCTGCATGATCCAGTTCAGTGTAGTCGACCACAATCAGGAAGATCATCGGTGATAGCAGGTGGCAGCCTTGTCTTACTCCTTCTTGTCTTCATCTCAAAGGCATCACTGAGCTTTGCATTGTCAATCACTTGGCATGTAGCATCATAAAGCATATAGCTGTTGTTGAATGAGTTTCAGAAATGTTTGTGGCACTGAAACCGTAGTGTTGAAGCAGCTGCGTGCCAAATTACTGACGCTGTTGAAGGCTTTTACAAAGTCGATGAAGTTGAGGTAGAGAGTTGGCTACCATTCTATGCTCTGTTCTATGATGATGCGTAGCGTAGCGTTGGAATTTGATCCACACATGATTTGTTCTCCCTGAAGCCAGCTAGCATGTTCCGGTCGTAATTTTGAATGCAGAGCACCTTTTAGTCTCTCCAGATGCTGCGGCATAATATTTTTCTCGGGGTGGACAGGAAACTCGACTCTGTTTAGAAACGGTAAATTACAGATATCATACCAACAACTGACACCTACTGCACAAGAGGTGGCTATCGTATACCATTGCCTTAGTGAATGACACTTCGGTGTTTGAAGCGAAGGGATTCGAACCGCAGTGGGAAAAACATCCCTCAATAGGGTGCAATTTCATTCAGCTTTCGATTCCCAAAGATCAATATAAGATTTTTACCTATTCAAACCCTAACTTTCTCGCTAGTTGCTCTATCTAAAAGATTACTACACAACTGCTTTCCATTCTTAATCTCAGTTTTTAGCACTGGTGGAACCACATCCTATTGTTCAATAATAGACTGTTATATGTTTGTGATGTGTGCACATACAATTTTGAGGTTTGTAGGTATTCATAAATTCCAGGTCGGTATTGATCATAGACTCAAATCAGCTGGAGAAGAATTCCTGAGGAATCCCATACTAGGATGAAACAGTTGTCCAGAGTTACCAGGTTTTCACTGTTCCTCCAACTGATGTCGTAGCATGATGAATACCAAATTGGAATCAATAATTAAATCCCACAAGCCTCAAGATCGAATAATTCCAGTGCTTATTGGTAACAAGCTTCGAGAGGTGGTTTCCGAAATTACAATCAGAAGTCGCGACCCACCAAGTCAGACATTAGGACAGGTACTCAACGATGGCTTTAAATGGAGGTCACTGATGGGAGTAGGATATATAGAGCATTGAATCCCAGCTCAGTGGCTCAATGGTAACATGCTGGCTACGGAACCTGGAGGTCCTGAGTTCGACCCCCGGCGGGGTAATGGGGCGTGCTGCTGAGGCCTCCCATACTAAGGGCAAACAACTTCCCAGTGCTCCCAACGTTTCTTCAATTGATGTCAGTCCATGATGAATGCCAACGTGATACACAGGTATGACTGTACAACTTTAAAAGATGATATCGGCAAAAAAGAAAATTTTCTTCGCTGAATTACCTCTTCTTTATGACTCGATGGGCATGTTTCATCATTTAGTTGATTAAGATGACGTTTGATCAGGTAAGTTCAGCATTGTAGTCAGAAGCAATGATTGCATATCGCATCGCGATCCAAGACGCACTCTTCGTCCTGTTAGGGGCTTGTCAGCTGGATGTACCTGCACTCCAGCGAGTTATGAATTTAATATAGATGGCGTTTCTTTCAAGCAATAAGTAATCATTTAGATTTTTTAGGCAAGATTTCTATGGACCATTACGAAATAGAAGCAATAGGTGGAAGAGGATGTCTGACTTGTTATTTATTTCTACACTAGATATTCAATTTAAATAGGTCAGTGTAATTGAAGAGGTACAGCTAGGTTGACTTACAATCCACCTAAGATTACATGTATCTAAAAGTGGGAGAAATTAATGACTTTCCGACAAAAAAGTATTTTTATCACGTCGTCAGGTAATGCAGTCCTTTATTTTGTTCATCCATCTGTCAATCTGAAATACTGAAACTTTTGAGAGTGTCATTTAGACAATCACACTGGAATCGAACATGCCGCTGAAATTTACATCATCTTTTCACCGAACTTCACCTGATGAAAATCTCGAATTCTAAACGCTGACGACTGATAGAGTTGGCCACGTGACCAATATGCTGAATAGCACGATACAAACAATCTCAGTGCGTCAGTTGTGACGTTTATAGGTTATTAGTCAAGTGTATAGCAGTTTCAGTGGGGATAACGTGGACATCTAATCTTAGAGAATAAAATAACATGAATATTCTAGAAATTGCAAATATATTCTGATGATGAATGGTCGTAAGCATGAAACCTAGGCTTTGCTTGGGTCTAATTAAGGGTCGAGTGTACTGTGTTACAGTTCGCTCTGTTCCGGTGTATGGCTGTGTAACGTGCGAATTATAAGTAGAAGACTTCAGGTGTTTGACCACCGTTACCTTGGTAGCATAAGCCGTGTTTAGTGGTGCCACCACGTGAGTAACGCAGACATAGAGTTTTAGACAGTTGTGAACCTTCATCAACTGAGATGGCTGGCTGGGACATGTGTTACGTATGCCTAACGACCGTTTGCCTTGTCCCACAATGTTGGCCGAAGTAGATTCAGGTTGCAAAAGTGCTCGGTGCAGCCAGACTAAAGCATGGCATCAATGTATGAAGTCCTTAACTGTTTGTTTAAGTCATGTAGGGCGATGCAGAATAGCCGGTTGGAATCAACGGGGCCAGAGAAACCAGTGGTTGGAGACTCTAGGTGATATGGACAACATGCAGTCACAAAAAAAAACTGAATTTTCAAGCTTAGTTTGTCTCTTCAGAGTTCTGAGTATAGCTGATACTTTCCAGGTCAGTTATTTCTAAATAGCGTATAGTCCCGTAGTATCCTGTTGTTACTCATCCGAATAACTATATATGAATGTTGTCATGAATGAAATCACTTGTTGAAATAAGAGTAAAACTTGAGCAGCGCAGCAATTATTTGTGGCACTATCTTAAACTTGTAGGGATTTAGACATAAGGGTTCCGAATGATTATATATTCATAGCTGTTATTGAATGGTTCAACTTATGATTCAAAGGGTACAGTTTAACGGTCAGTTAGTCTATTCGACTTCATGCGTATGATGTAAATAAACTTTTTAAATTAACATTCAACTTTACCAAACTAAAACTCATTTCATTCTGAATCTAGACGGAAAAAACAAATTCGCTAAGATAAAAATTAAATTGGCATATTCGCTATGGTTTTTCACTACATAAACATAACCTCGACATTGTCTGACAACATTAAAGTGACATTAGTTGTCTAATTATTTGATAATCAAACACTTCGTTATTCTGTGTCAATCATACCTCATATAATATAACCCCCTTAGAATAGTTCATTCAACCTTTGCTTAGTTAGATGAGCTTTCATCAATACTGATGTTATCACTAATGTTCATTCAAAGGTCATTAGGTCATAGTCATTCCGTCGGACTAATTTATTCCAAGTTAGGATTTTATCACATAACTAACAATGACGTCATAGTTATCTTCTTCCACGTTCTGGTATCAAACTTCTTCAGATGTTGAAACCTCTGTGTATGTCAGGGGTTGAGAAGGAATCAGATGTGGTTGACGAATATGATGGAAACATATTTCCAGGTAGGCACCTATCACCATTTTTGTCTTGACCAAGAAATTCATCTTGAAATGGATCGTTAACGAGCACAAAATCCTATGGATCATCTGATCTCTTGAGAGATCTGAACAAAGTGAGAAGGGCTAGATTTCATATCCAATCCTTCTTATAATATTACAATTCCTCTCCAGTCAGTTGGTTGATTCGATGAAATGACCAGTTTGAAGGTAATTTTGATCATGTTTTAGTATTTTCATCTGGAGAATAACTAGTATGAAATTTTTGTGGGGATCACATAGCATATGAACCTATTAATACCACTAGATAGTGACACTCGGTTTCTTTAACCTGATAAGAAATCCACAAAGAGGGTTCGTTCAACTCATATTCTCTGATTGCCAAGATTCCTTTCGATTATCCAATCAATCTTAAAAGGCACTAATCTGTCATATTAAGCTCTACGACTCAGCATTCTCACTGTAATTTACGATTTAAAAATAAAAAGTGAGATAACCAATGATGTCATGATATACGATATTACTTAAAGGTTTTAAGTAGTACTTTTAAACGAAAGAAAGCTATTAGAAGTTCAAAGTAAAGCCAGGGGGGAAAACACTAATCAACATCACAGACCAGAGATAAAAGTAGTTGCATCACTACATATAACTTCTTTCCCTCAGATCTAAGATTCAATCATCAGGCTTTTTGTTGCTTCCAGAATGTATTACATAGAACTTTAATTCAGAATCATATGAATACGTCAACAAATAAGCAAACACTAAAAGCTAACCAATAATTGCTGAAATTCTTATTCAATATGGCATCAAGATAAGACGATGAAGACTACACACAGCTCATTTTAGTCTGGTTAAGTTGTTCACAAGTATAGACTACACAATTATGTTGATTAT